CCCAGCTGATTTTTTGATTTATTGTAGAGATGACGTCTCGCTGCCCAGGCGGGTCTCGAACCTGCGGGCTCAGGCAATCCACTCACCTCAGCCTCCCAAAGGTGCGGGATTACAGGCTGAGCCACCGAGCCCGGCTCTCGTGGGTTTTCAAGTTAGAGAATCACGTCATCTGCAAAGAGGGATAACTTGACTTCCTCTTTTCCTATTTGGATACCCCAATCTCCTTCTCTTGTCTGATTGCTCTGGCTAGGACTATGTTGAAAAGCAGGGGTGAGAGTGGGCATCCTTGTCTTGTTCTGGTTTTCAGGGGAAATCGTTATGATTCTTGTCTGCTTAACAGTATGCTGGCTGTGGGTTTCTCACAGATGGTTCTTACTATTTTGAGCTATATTCCATCTATCCCTAGATGGCCAAGGGTTTTTATCAAGAAGGGTGCCGGATTTTATCAAAAGTTTTTTCCCCCATCTAATGATATAACCATGTGGTTTTTGTTTTTACATCTGTTGATGTATTTAATTAAGTTTATGGTCTTGTGAATGTTGAACTAGCCCTGCATCCTGGGGATAAAGCCTACTTGGTCATGGTGTATGATTTTTGAGATATGTTGCTGAATCCAGTTTGCTAGGATCTTGTTGAGAATTTTAGCATCCATGTTCATCAAGGCTATTGGTCTGTAGTTCTCTTTCTTTGTTGGATCTTCACCTGGTTTGGGTATCAATGGGATGTTAGCTTCATAAAATGATTGGGGAGAATTCCATATTTCTTCAATTGCTTAGAATACTTTCAGTAGGGTTGATATTAGTTCCTCTTTGTATGTTTTGTAGAATTCTGTTGGAAAGTCATCTGGTCCGGGGTTTTTTTTTTTTTTTTTTTGGTAGGTAGTTTTCTTAAGACAGTCAATTTCCTGGACTGTTATTGGTCTATTTAGGGTCTCGATTTCTTTTGTTTCAACCTGGGGAGGCTGTGTGATATCAGAAAGTCCTCCATTTCCTTTAGGTTTTCAAGTTTGTTCCATACAAGTGTACACAGTAGTCTCTGATAATCTTTTGTATTTCTTCAGGGTCAGTTTTGACTTGTTCTTTTGCGTTTCTGATTGTGTTTACTTAGGGTTTTTTTTTTAATTCCCTTCTACTTGGTCAGTCTAGCTAAGGGATCCATCAATCTTGTTTATCCTTTCAAAGAACCAGCTTTTTGTTTCATTGATTTTTTTGTATTATCTTTTTGTCTTCTATGTCCCAAATTTGGGCTTTTATTTTGGTGATCTGGATTCTTCTGCTGAAGTTAGGGTTTTGGTCGTCTTGATTTTCCAGTTTCCTTAGGTGGTTTGTTAGGCTGTTAACTTGTGATCTTTCTATTTTCTTCATGTGTGTTCCTAGAGATATGAATTCCCCTCTTAGTACTGATTTCATGACATCCCAAAGGTTTTGGTAAGATGTTTCTTCATTTTCATTTGTTTCCAGGTATCTTTTAATCTGTTTTGATTTCCATGTTGACCCAGGTATTGTTTAGCATCAGGCTATTTAGTGCCCGTGTCTTTGTGGGTTTTGGTGGAACTTTGTTGGTGTTGATATTTATTTTTATTCCACTGTGGTCTCAGAAGGTGCATGGCAGGATTTCAATCAACCTCTCTTTCATCAGTCACATGAGCATCTCTTTTCACTAAAGCAAAAGTACACACAAATATCTCCTAAAACTTAAAACATACTGAAAAAAGCTTTCAGGATGGTTCTGGTCTTCATATGCTTCTTTCCAAAAGTCCAGGAATTCCAGACTTTCTTGATGGGCAGAGTTCACTTTCAACTCAATTGGTCCCAATTATGACTTGACATGAAATAAAGTCATACTTAGAGGGGACAGACACTTGAAAATTCAGATATACCCTGTGGACATCCAAAAGGAAGTCAAAGAAACTTAAAAGTATGATTCCTTCTCAAGAATCGAAACAGAACAAAATAAAAAACAAAACTATCTTCTGAAATTATGATCCCAATTCTACCAAAGCTTTGCATTTCTTCAAAAATCTATCATTCTAATGAGTAAAAATAATTTAGTATTTGGGAAGTAGCAATCTTTTAAACTGCCAGCTACTCTTACTACTTATTTGGATCTGAATACTTGTACTTCTTAAATAAAATTAAAAATTAGCAAGGCTCCATTTTTTTTTTCTTGTGGTTCAGTTTCAACATATTCAGGTAGTTCCTCAAATATTTAAGAGTATATAATCTGGTAAACCCCCAGAGTCCTAAAATTGCATTTTTCTGTACCTTTTAACAACTTAAAAGTTCAGAAAGTCCTTGAAAGTTTATTGAGGAAGTAACTCAATAAACTTATTGAACAAGCCAACTGAATGCATTAAATTAAACTAAAATCCCAATGCCCTACTTTCTTCCAAACAGTCCATCAACAAGAAATGCTTAAGGACTAGAGTTTGAAAAAAATCACTACCTTTGTCATGTCCTCCATCACATCAGGTAATCAACCTGATTTATAAAGTTCACAACTCAGCTCAACCTCTCCTGCGAAATGATGCAGTGGTGGCTAAGCACAGCAACCTTTAATTCTGCCTTAAACACATCTAAAGTCATTTTTTCTTCCATCATACAGTCCCAACTGTGACCAATATACATATTTTTTTTCATGTTTCAACCAAACTCCTCAAATCCCTTTTAGTATACAGTTAGAATCTATATTACAGTTATGTCCCTAAGGCATTAGGTGAAAATGTTTCACTAAAGATAACAGGTAAGAATCACACTAAGGTCAAAAAGGCTCTTTCTGGCCTAAAAGTCTCTGTGTACAACTTCATGGCACATGCATAGTCACTAGTCTAGCTACTTTTCCTCATCTTCCACTAGGACCAAAACATCTTTCTCTTAGTTTTGCTGTGGTCAAATGACAAGGAGTCCTATAGCCTAGTAGGAAAAAATATAAGACCTCAAATCTCTTGATATTAAAAAAAAATGTTTTAAAACTAACAATTCACAGCAACCTTCCTATAAGGGTATATAATTCCAAAATACACTAATTCCTTTATCTCAACAAGAATTGTCTCAGATGTAATGTAAATATTCAGTGAACATATATAATCCTGTTATTTCATAGACTAAATCTTTAATATGAAGTTAAGTTATTGTTCATTTTTCCTCTGAATGCTAAAACTAGAAAACAAAAAATATGGCTAAAAGAATGTATTGTAGCTAATGATGATTAAACAGCACTTCAAGAAATAAATGCAAAATTAAACAACATACCTGATTGAATGAAGAATCACTGTCAGAGCAATTGTCTGTACAATAACAACTGCTTTTCTCCTTTTGGTTTTTTTTCTGCCTCTCTTGACCTCGAATCTCATCTTCTTCAAACTTGTTAATCATAGACTCCACCACCGTCATCATGAGGTTCTTCAGGGTCTGCATCATTTCTTTATACCTATCAATTCAAAGTACTCTTACTAAGACTATCAGAAATTAAAACAGCCAACTGAGTTAAATTATGTGATTTTTTTCCTATAAAAAGGGAAGTTCCTTGAAAAACACAATGCTCAACAGAAAAATCTAAGTCAATATTTCTTAAAGAAAAAATGGTTCAATAAAATTAATAAGAAAACAATAAAAATAAGGAATCCAAAAAATATGTTATTCGTGGTTACATAGATCAACAGAGTAAAACTAAAAGAACCTAAGGCAAGATGTTCCAATGGCATGAATTCTAACTGTACCAACAGAGTCAACTAATAACAGAATTATATCACACCACCAAAACCCAGGCGATTTTACACTTCATTTATCCCTTATTTCTATCTCTCTCTCTACTCTCCCTCCACTTTCTTTCCTTTCTTTGTCCCTTGCCTATACTATGTTTCTATAGGTACCATTCCAAAACTGAGACTTCTCAGGTATCCCTGTTAATATTAGAAGGAGATTCTCAAAGGTCTATGAGCAGAATTTTAGAGGTAGAAAGAACCATATAGTCTAGCCTATTTCACAAATGTGAGCCATATAGTCTAGCCTATTTCACAAATAATATGTGACCTGGACTACTGAAAACTCTATATTTAAAACAAAAAGGGCATTAAGATTTAAATAAACATAAAGTACAGAATTTGGAATCAGAAAACCTGATTGGAATCCTGGCTACTTTACGGCCAGCTCTGTCACATGTAAGTGTCAATTTCCTCAGCTATAAAATGAGATAAAAAGGATACAATCTAGCCAGCCTATTTCATATGACTGCAGCAATAAATAAATAAGAATATATATACATATATCTGAAAGTGCTTTGCAAATACAAAGCACTATACATATGTTTACTAATATTAAAATAATAATTGAAATACATTAGGAAAATAAGAACAGAAATATCCCTCTCTACATATTTTTGGTCAATGGGTCATTGTAAGTCCATAAACCAAAGGAAGGACATGTACTCTGTTTCTCACAAAAGCAATAAAACCATGCTGGGAAATCTGGACAGCAATAGTAGAATGAGGTTTTAAGTAGAAATTAGAAAATACATTTTAAGCTATATATTGTTAAATATACATAATTTCTACATGCAATTTAAAGTGTATTCATATATTTATTATGTACATTTAGTAATATATATTTATATAATATATAACTATAAATACATTCATTTATATATGTGAATATTTTTAAAGTACTAGAAATTATGAGAAAACACTAAAATATTGAAAGTAGAAGGGAATCAATTAGGAAAAATATTCAAAGAAAAACATACAAAAAGATAATTAAGTAGAGGTGAGAAAGAGTCCAGGGAAGATCCCAGTTTAAAGTAAAGGAATATAAAGACAAGAAGGAGTCCTGAGACACTAAGACTGATTTGCAAAGTATACATATAAGATAATTTAACCAGGAGGCTCAGCTTTCTCTACAGATTCTGAGCAGCAAGAAACAGAGAAACAAAGCAGTGCTCTGGTAGCAAGAATGATCTATCCACCAAAAGTGGTTCTCTCCTTCCACAGTACCTGGATTATAGTTTGGATCAGGACTAAGCTATGCTCCCCAGCCTCCTCTGCATTTAGGTAAGGCCATATAAACAACATAAAGTACCTGCCCTCGTAAAACTTACAATCTGGTGATTTAATAAAGAAGTATAAGAGCAAATTTCAATGATATACAGGGAGAGAATAATGTTAATTAAAATTCATAGAAAATCTGCAAGTTTCACCTTGAACATAAATGTTTCCAACAGACCATAGGTAATACCAACAAAATGGCCAAAGGAATAAATAAAAATAATAATTTTTAAAAATAAATTTTTTTAAAAAACTAGAAAAATTAGACACTCTATATCAAGAGTTAAATGGAGAGAATGCAACAGCAGCCATTGCTGTTTGGAAAAAGCTAAGGAAATCAGATGGGGTGCCAAAAAATGTATACACATTTTAAGTATGACGTTCGCTCAAAAGATGGTATTAACCAAATGATTATTAGCATCACCATGCAACAGGTAGGACAAAGAAAATGGTGGAAAGATGGTTAAGCGAACATCATACCACACATTACTACTATAATTTAATTCAACTTTGAAAAGTAATACATAGATAACATTGCTTAAAATGTGTATATAATTTTTTGGCACCCCCAGTAGACACCATTGAGTAGATTCCTTTATACTACAGGAATTCTCAAAGACCACAGGGAAAAAAAGGTCTAAGAGGTAGTGAAAAACCACATCAATTAACAATGAAAATCCGCATAGTAAGTACTTTCACTCATTAAATGAGGAATATTGCATATTATAAATCCTACAAATGAATTATTCAATATGCAAACATCTATTTAAAAAATAAATATCAAAATATTTAATTAGGAAAATACTTTATAATTATTACAGTAAAAATTCTGTCAATAGATGTAGTGTTGCCACATTAGCTCTAAGTAGTTTCCAAAGAATCACACACACACACAAAGAGTTGAAAAAAAATAGTCTGTACAATTTAAAATTTTTCATACATGGTTCATAAAACAAAAGAAAAACACTCATTAAGTTATCTATGTGAGATAACTATTTAATTATTTTATACATGGATGAACTAAAACACAGAAAAATCAAATCATTTACCCAGAGATAAAAAGCAATTTTCTAACAGTAACATATAAATACTTTTACATTATCTAATGAAGTATTTTAGCATTCCTTTAACAGTATATTTAATGATATCACTGGAAACATACTGCTAAGAATTATAACATTATCCAAACATGGTGATGATTCCATGTTTTGCTTTCTCCAAATAAAAAATAAGAAATCTTAATCTCCATGGCTTTTACTTGATATTGATTCATGTTTGAACTTGCTAAATTTACAGAGAGCTATACACTGCTACTTTGCTCAAGTAATAACATAATTATTTAAATAATACAATCAATTGTCATAAAGGGGAAGAGCTCCTGTCCAAAATACTTTTTTGAAAAGTTTAACTATTTAAAAATAAATCAGATTTTTTTTTTTCTTGAGTCAGAGTCTCACTGCGTTGCCCAGGCTGGAGTACAGTGGCATGCTCACAGCCACCGCAGGCTCAATCTGCTGGGCTTAGGTGATCCTTCCGCTTCAGCCTTCCAAATAGCTAGAACTATAGGCACGTGCTACGACACCTGGCTAATTTTTTAATTTATTGTAGAGCCAAGGTCTCATCAAGTTGCCCAGGCTGGTCTCAAACCCCTGGGCTCAGGCAATCCTCTCGTCTCGGCCTCCCTAAGTGCTGGGATTACATGCTTTGAGCCAGCGCGTCTGGCCCAATAAATCAGATTTAATGCTTCAGAATATAGTAATACAAGCCCAGGTATATATTGAAATGTCTCTGAAACTATAAACATGAACTATAGCAGGTTCTCAAATAAGGTCATGTCATTTAACATCCTTTCTGCAAAATGTTGACGAGAAAAAAAAAAAGGCTTCCTGGCTGAAGTCACTATCTGTGTGCAGTGTCCACATTCGCCCATGTCCGCACAGGTTTTTTCCAGGTACTCCAGTTTCCTCTCACATCCCAAGATGTGCAAGTTCAGTGAAATGGCATGTCTGAATGGTCCCAGGGTAAATGCATGTGGGTATGAGCACGCCCTGCAATGGATGGCATTCTGTCCATGGCTGTTTCCCACCTTGCACCCTGAGATGCTGGGATCGGTTTTGGCTACCTGTGACCCTGAACTGGAATAACGGGGTAAATTTTACTTGTTTTTACTAAACTTCCTTAAAGTATGTACAACTTACGTTTACGTCAATGTTTAATGTTAAAAATGTTCTCTATTTAAAAATTTGGTGATTTTGTCTATGTGTGAACAGAAACTTAACTCTTGTTTATATCAATTAGCCTAGGGTAAAACTGGTTTTGTTATACACAGCTTTGCTTAAAGTCGCAGTTTCTAAGAACCTATTGATTACATTAAGTGAGAGCTTACTGTATATTATAAGCTTCAACGTCTGCCTTTAAATTACAAAAGGAAGCAGCCACAAAGTTCTAGCAGGGAGAAAAACTGGATACCAAAATTACCTAAAGACATCACATACATTAACATACATCCAGGTCCAGAGACTAAAATTGACAAAATAAATGTCATATGTCCAAATCATCATCAAAAATAAATTTATGAGATCCAATTTTTAAAGTTTCACTGTGAATGAAAATTATGTAAAGTTTTTATCAGAATAAAAATTGTTGCCATTAAGCTTCAGAAAATAATTTTTAACATTAGATAACAATAATATGCAAGTTATTCTAAGAATTAGAAGCATTTAAACTAAAAAACAAAACTACACTAATAAGCATAAATTCAGGGGGAACTAGAAAACCACTCAACTTTCCTATCCTGCTCTTTATGACCCTAAGTTTTCTGCTGTGTCACATGGGAGTGAAGGGAACAGACCTTCAATAACAAGCCAGGTGTTGAAAGATAATTAAAATGAGGAATATCTAAGGAGCTGAAATTAAATACAAGACAGAAACCTCAAGTTTTTTCTCTGCTACTGCTCTGAAGCCAACTGTATTTTGCGGGAGTTGGGCACTTTGTCATGCCGTCCCACCAATCAAGACCTGGGGTGGCTTCCTTATGTCTACAGTATGCACTCAGCTTCCATTCACCTGGCCAATTTTCACTCATGATCTCTTTAGTCAAAAGACAGTGTTTTAAAGCACAATATCAAGCAGAAGTATACTGTTTCCCATCCATTGTCAGAACAGAAAGGCAGGCAAGCAACGAACAATGCATATAAAGAAAAATGTTAAAGGGTCAAAGATCAGGTAGGTATATATCACACAGTTCCCACCCGTAGGCATTTATAGTGGATCATCAGGAGATCAAGAACACAAGAAACTGTCAAAAGCACAATGCAAGAATTCTTACAGGGCAACACACACAGAAAAGGGAGCTAAGAGAAAAGCGGGCTCCACATTGGTCTCCAGCATCAAACAAGTGTTCTACACTGTACAAGTTGCTTCTCTGGGCCCATAACACAGGGCGCTAGCGCAAATTATTTCTAAGGTATTTTCTAGCACCAGTATCTGAAAGTTCTGTGAAGTGAAAATCAAAGGAAAACTGAGTCCGCAAGTAACGCACTTACCTCTCAGTGTTCCATGACTCCTATCAAACCGGGCGGAAGGGCCCTTGTGACAGGGCTTGCTAACGGTCCCCAGTGTCCCTCCTCCTCATCTTCATGTGGTGTTAGAACCCCTCCCCAAAAGTTCACTATGATCATCAGCCAGGTATTAAGTTTCCCAGTCTCTGCTGTAGACAGGCGCAAGCACATGACATGTTTCAGCCAGTGGAAAGTGAACAAATGAGGAATCTCGCCCTCATTCTTTCCTTTCCTTGCCAGGCTGAAACCCAAGTCTGTAGTCAGTATGGCTGCTTCAACAGGCTGAGGAAGGCAGTCCTCTAAGCCAGCTTGGCAAAATAAGTCCTGTGGACATAAATCAACCTGCCATAAAATTAATGACACCAGCAAAAAACATTTTCATTAATTCCTTTTAAGCACCAAGGATAAACCAGACCTTTTCTAGGAATTGGGATACAGAAACAAAAAAAAAGGTAAAATTAAGTGTCTTCATGAAGCTTACATTCTAGTGAAGAAACACTGAAAGTAAGCATAAAATAAGCAAACACATTTATTATCCTTATTAATTACTGAAAAAAGACCTAAGAAGAAAAATAAAACATGGTGAGAGAGAGACAGAAAGTAACAGGAAAAGGCTACTTTTTTACACAGAGAGGTCAGAGAAGGCCTCTCTGATGAAACATTAAACGGAAGCACCCAAAGAAGCAAAGCAGCAAATCATGCAACTACCTAGCGGAAGGACGTGCAGGCAGCAGAAGCAACTGCACGCAAATCTCTCAGGAGGGCCTTACTTAGCCGGTCTGAGAACGAGCAAGCACAGAGCCATGTGAGAGAGAGAGGGTAAGAAATGAGGCAGGCAAGGGAGCAGAAGGCTTCTGGCGGGACCTGGCCACAGAAACACTCTGGATCTCACTCTCTGGAGAGGTTTGAGTGGAAGTGTCACAATCTGCCCACTGACTTAAAGAATCATTTTGACTGTTAGGAGGAAAACAGACTATCAGAGGTTAGGAGTGTTGTCAAGAAGTCCTGTTGAGAGAAAAATTACTTTAAAGTGTTATTGTGGGCATACTCACTCTTTAGACGCCTGCGTTCTTTTGGTAACATGCTGGACAACTGTGTCATAGCCACACGCCTCACTCTGACTCTCATCAGACATGCATTTTTCCATTTCTTCTTCAATCATAGGCCCCAAAGTGTTGCATATATGTTGTCTAAGGTATTTAACAAATTCATAGCTGAAACAAATGTTTAAAAATAAATGCAGTAAATATCATAAACTCTTATTAACCATACTCAAAAAAAATGTTAGCAAAGGTTTGTAAATATTAAGATTTCTTACTTTAAAGCTAGGATTAAATTGGTCAATCATCACAAATCATCAAGCTAATCTATAATCTTTTTTGCTTTTTTTGGGACACCTGGAAAGAATCATCATTTAAAGACTGTCATGGTGGGGAAAAGCAAATTTTAGGGGCAGCCCAAACCTCAGTGGGTTAGGAGTCTCCTCACATTTCTCTGTTAGAGAAATCTTTAACGTGCAATGCTGAAGAGTAAGAAAAGCAGTTGCTAAAAACATTCAGTTATTCAACTGAATAACTATAAGTCATAGACTAGAAAACAAAAATTATGAAAGAGAGAATAGAACAGAGGTCAGCTCCCAACATCAGGAGAGTCTTCTGCACATTCTGAGAGTGGTAACTGACCTGAACGCCACCTGTGACCATCATTATTATTAAATGGAAGACACATTTTGCTACTGGCATTCAAAGCCCTCTCAAATCCCAACTTATCCTACCAGATTTATGTCCCATAACTACCCCCACTTGCCTAGGACTCTCCATGTTTTCTAGTCCAATTCCAATACCTTCAATAACACTATTCGTCCATTTAGGGTGTTTTGCCAACACTCCCCCTTCAGTAGGATTATCTTTTACAACCTAAAGTGCTGCTTTCTGATAAACCCTTTCCTGGTTTCCAAAAACTGATATTCTTTCGCCCCAAGTCCCAGAAGTACTTTGCCCTTTTCTCTTAGTACCCAAAAAATTGTCTTGTATGCAGCTACATGACCTCCTCTGTCCTCTGCTTGGCTCCTGATCACCTACCTCTAAATGCAGATTTTTATATTTTTTATACACTAGACAACAGGAAAAATCCACTTTATGTATCACCCATAATACTTTGTACATAGTAAACACTTTATGAATATTTATTGGATTGAAATACAGCACTGAGGAAGAGTTCTTGTCACTTCCTACTTCAATGGCTGTCAGTTTGAATTCGCTTAATCTTTCTAAATATAGGTTTTAGTTGTTAACATTTTGTTCATTTAATGTCTATTAACAAATTTCAGACACTATTATACTGCAATTATGCCCAGACATGTCCTTTTTTTGTTTTTGTTTGCGTTGCAGTCTCACTCGGTCACCCAGGCTGAAATGCAGTGTGGCTCACTTACGGCTGCCACAGCCCCGACCTGCTGGGCTCTGGCGATCCTTCCACCTCAGCCTTCCAAGTGGCCAGAATGACAGGTGCGCTACCACACCCAGCTAATTTTTTGATTTGCTGTAGAGATGTGGTCTTGCCAAGTTGCCCGGGCTGGTCTCGAACCCGCAGGCTCAGGCAATCCTCTCACCTCGGCCTCCCAAAGTGCTGGGACTATAGGTATGAGCCACTGTGCCCACCCTGAAATACCTTTAAAAATGAAAAAAAAAAATCCTAGAATATACAATCCTTTCAGCCCAACCACTGCGACTTCACATCCAGCCTCTTCTACTGGGCAAAGGAGGGAAAGGAAGTTCGGAGAGAGGAGACCTAAAGATTAGCCTGACCCTCTCAGTCCATCAGACACACTAGCTTTCCTCCACACCTCCAAAACAGAAGATGGGCTAGCCTGAGTTAATTCTCTGAAATGGAAGGAAGAGCCTCTCTCAAAATGAATTCTATCTCAAACCATCAATACCGACTTATCTTATTTCTTCATTTTTATCAGTCAATTAGAAGAAATGAATATTCAACTGGGAAGTATAACTATTGTGTGTGCTTTGTTATAAAGCCCAACCTGTAAGCCGCACAATTGAGGCAACAATAAAATACAAGCACATTAATAAAATGTACTCAGTAGAGATAAGAGGATAACATTCTAAAACAATAGACAGGCCAAAAAAAACTCTCCACCAGGAAGGGAGGGATAGGGAGAGACTTGCTAAAGGACACAAAATGATGACCAGATGGGAGGAGTGAGTTCTAGTGCTAGATGCCACCGCAGCATGACTACAGTCAACAATACAGCACGTGGTTCTAAGCAGCTAACCGGTTGTGGTGGTTCGTGCCTGTCATCCCAGCACTCTGGGAGGCTGAGGTGGGAGGGTTGCTTGAGCCAAGGAGTTCGAAGCAACATAGTGAGACCTCGTCTCTACAAAAAAATCAAAACTATGTGCCTGTAGTCCTAGCTATCTGAGAGGCCGAGGTGCATCACCTGGGCCCAGGAGGTCAGGCTGTGGTGAGCCGTGACGTGTCATTTCCCTCTGCCTGGGCGACAGAGTGAGACCTCAATTCAAAAAAGCTGCCTCAAATAACGAGAAGGAGGTTATGGAGTGTTCTCAACACAAAGAAATGACAAATGCTTGAGATGATGTAAATGCTATTTCAATAACATAAAAGTATCATTACCTTGATCTGGTAGTGATACTATACACTGTATGTATCAAAGCATCACTATGTACCCCATAATATGTGCAATTATTGTCAATTTTTAAAAATGAAATTTGGACAAAACTTCCACCATTTAGCATCTGCTGTAAATAAAAAATACCCTGGAAAAGTTTTAAATGTACTCTTAAGGAACTTGAATAACCACATGCTTTTTTTCTACTGGCATCATTTTTACCGATGACCATAGTATCATCTCCCAGATAAGTCATTCAAAATTCTTCAAGGTTTTGGTTCATCTTCCAAATTAAGTGAGGCCAAGGATCCCAGGGTTAAATCTTAAAAGGCTACTGCTCTTTCAAAGGAATCTTCTAAGAAAAAAATCTCCAGGGATGGTAAGGCCTTCTATCAGGCAAAGACTACCAAGCTGCCTATACCTTTAGGATACTCTACTGGCTCACTGATCGCTGGGAAACTGAGTCTCCAATCCCAAGTTAACGAACAGACTCGTCTCGTCACGTGGGCCCTCCTGCTCTTCAGGTAACAGAGAGTCAAGACTTCAATTTCTCCTCAGACAACTCACTTTGTGTGGCTTCTTTTACTATCTAAATTCGTGGCAGTATAACCATAAAATACTACGTCAACTTCATATAATGGTGCCCCAGGATAGAAAATTATTGCTGCAATGGGGTTTGGAGAAACAGTTCTACAAAATTAAATACAGCAGTAAATTCCAGTATGTTGCCTGCACTGGAACCCTGACAGTAAGGGTGCTATCCATTGCTCTTAAGAAACCTATATCTAATTCCAAAGATTGGTGGCAACTAGATTTTTGCATCATTTTTAGAAGTTAATCTGGAGGCACAGCAATATTTTACTTGTTTTGTATAAAAGTCCCAGATGCCTAAAGAGACTTTCAAAGGGTCCTTGGGCTTATTTCAGGGATTACAAAGTCAGATGCGACCGAAGTAAGACTGGTAAGGTAATCCAAGCCTGTGAGAGAGAAAGAACAAGGCTATGATGAACCGGACAGGACCTGTTCCAGCTGAAGGGAAAGCTGCCACGTGGCTTCAGCCACTTGTCTTGAAGGAATGTGAGCCTGGGGCTCATCACTGGGTGACGAGTTCCGCAGAACCCCAAACCTCACTATTCTGCAAAATGCCCATGTGAAACGCCTCAACATGTACCCCCGAATCTAAAATAAAATAAAATTTAAATTGTATTGTAAGTATTTATTTTTTTGAGTCGGAGTCTCACTCCGCTGCCCAGGCTGGAGTGCAAAGGCACGCTCATGGCCGCCCCAGCGTGAACCTGCCGGGCTCCAGCGTTCCGTCCACCTCAGCCTTCCAAGGAGCCAGAACTACAGGCGCGCTATCACGCCTGGCTAATTTTTGGATTTATTTTAGAGATGTGGCCTCGCCAATATCTATGTTTTCAGAAAAGCTGAAAGACTGATTTTTGCGGGCTATCTCTCAATTTTTAAATGCTTGTATTTTATTTTCTAACCCAGCCAAAGAAAACACGAAATAAGGCCTGCAGGATGCCAGTCTGACCTTTCAGCGCCCTTTTGCCCCGCTCATTCCAAAATCCTGGCCATTAAAGATACAGCAAATCTCTTACACTTAAAATTTCTATTTAAGAAATACAAAAGCTTCTTCGAAAATCGATAACACACTTAATAACTTATTTAGAATACCCTTACTTGGTATAATGTGAATCAATTCTGCTACAATTTAAGTCCTTTCAGATCTTTCAGCAAACTGTTCTGTGTTAACAGTTCCAGACTTCATACATTTTAATTGTGCTGTAATATAATATGACTGTAATATACTAGGAATAATATAGCTTTGACTGTTGTGGGTTACAATAAACCCAACTTCCATTTATTTCTATTGCAGTTGAAGTCTACTAATACTCATTGTCTGTCCAGGCGTGGTGGTTCACAACTGCGATCCCAGCACTTAGCGAGACCTAGACAGGAAGACTGCCTGAGGCCACAGGCAACACAGTGAGACTTGGTGTCCACAAAAAAAATACAAAAATGAGCTGGGTGTGGTGGCGCATGCCTGGAGTCCTAGCTACTAGGGAGGGTCACTTGAGCCCAGGAGGTCGAGGCAGCAGCGAGTCGTGATTGTGCCAGGGTGCTGCAGTCTGGGTGGCAGAGTGAGATACCGGACATAACCGAAGTAGGACTTGAAGGACATAATCTGTACAAATGAATAAACAAGCATGTAGTCATCACACTTTTAGAAATTTATTAATCCAGTTTACTTCAGGTTTAAATTTTGAAGGGTACAAACAGTCTTGCAAATTCAGACAAATATCTGACCTTGCTAAGTTTCAGTTTCCTGCTACTTAATTGTGACGATAATTCTAATGTAAAAACTGTCGTTACGTATCATACTTTCTAAGACATTGACACTTTTCTCACCAAAAACACTATACATATATTTGACTAACCTTGTTACTTTAGAAGTAATTTAATGAGAAAAAAATTAAAATTTCGTTTCAATGACACTATCACCAAATGAATACAAAAGACCTTTTACAAAAGCCTTAAAGAGGCACATCAAAACCTAAGAGG